TGAGCATTTTTTCATGTGTTTTCTGGCCATTTGAATTTCTTCTTTTGAGAAAGTTCTGTTTAGTTCACGTGCCCATTTCTTTATTGGTTCATTAGTTTTGGGAGAATTTGGTTTTTTAAGTTCCCTGTATATTCTGGTTATCAGTCCTTTGTCTGATGTATAATTGGCAAATATTTTCTCCCACTCTGTGGGTGTTCTCTTCAGTTTAGAGACCATTTCTTTTGATGAACAGAAGGTTTTTAGTTTTATGAGGTCCCATTTATCTATGCTATCTCTTAGTTGCTGTGCTGCTGGGGTTTCATTGAGAAAGTTCTTACCTATACCTACTAACTCCAGAGTATTTCCTACTCTTTCTTGTATCAACTTAAGAGTTTGGGGTCTGATATTAAGATCCTTGATCCATTTTGAGTTAATCTTGGTATAGGGTGATATACATGGATCTAGTTTCAGTTTTTTGCAGACTGCTAACCAGTTTTCCCAGCAGTTTTTGTTGAAGAGGCTGCTATTTCTCCATCATATATTTTTAGTTCCTTTGTCAAAGATAAGTTGCTCATAGTTGTGTGGCTTCATATCTGGATCCTCTATTCTGTTCCACTGGTCTTCATGTCTGTTAGTCCAGTTTTGGTTTTAAAACATGCTTTAGAGGACTCAGCCAAAAGGACATCCTCCCAACCCTCAAAGGTTATCCCAAGACAATGACGCTAGGATGATGTTGATGTCGCTTTCAGCATAAAACTTTGTAAGTTTTTATTGTCATCTACTAAACCCTGGTGACATCCAGTCACCCTGCTGGGCACTTCACACTCACTGTGAGCGTAACATCCCCTCAGTCCTCTGAGGGGCGTGCCATCACTGTGAGCCCATTTTACAGGTGAGGAAGTGGAGACTCAGACAGGACAAGCTCCTGGCCCAAAGCTACGGCTTTTTAAATGACAGCTTCATCAATCAGACATGGCACTGGCCTTCCTCTGTAATGATTAGGGAGCATTCATCAGAAAGGGCCCACTCTGATGTGCCCAAGAAAGGACTTCAGTAGGGATTACTGGCTGCCCTCTGTTGGGAGCTGGGGTACACGGGAGCCTCAGGTGCACACCCTTCCTGGAGGAGCTCAGCTTGGCCAGTGCACAGCAAGGAAGGAAGGAAGTCCCAGTCAGTTACTTCCAGAAAGCTGAGCCGGTTAGAGGAAGGGAAAGAGGAAAACCCTAGGCGACAGAAGGCAGAGAATTTTAAGAAATGTTACACTGCCCTGTCTGTGAACTGGGTCTCCCATGACAGCAGTCACCTGTTAACTACTGGCTTTTGGACTGCGTTTCTTTAACAGGGGCTTTGCATTGAGAATGAAATAGGTAGAACTCTGAAATTTGTGTTATATTTATACTTATCGTTTTCTTTATTTTAAAAAATTGGCAATGAGCATGTGATGAAAATTATAATGTAGAAGCAAGTATGTACGCATCTTTTCGGTGTTTTAGAACAATTATTCCTTAAAAGATGGAAGTAGTGTGGGGAGCAGTTAATAATTTCATTACCCAGGCATGCACTGCAATTGCTCATGGTCTTTCTTTCTGGGTCAGTATTTGGCAGAAAAGAAAGAAAGACTCCAATATTCACAAGGCTTTGTGGGCTGCAGGAGGCTGTATGTCTAGAAGATTGGGGAGGCACTTACACCATTCCAACTCAATTTAGTCAATTTGTATCAGTTCACCTGGAGCTGTTACCACTGGAGGATGCCGCCTCCATTTTGCCCATTCTGCTTGTCTCTTGTCTCCCACAGTGGCCTGAGCATTTCACAAGGGCAGGAATCTGAGGTCTTCGGCTCACACTGGCCCCTAGCACCCCACACAGTACCCAGTGCTTGCAAGGCACTCGGTGAAAGCACATTGCTACCTTGGAAATGCATCTGCTGTTCCCTCGACAGCCCCAGCATCTCCAACTGGAATTCTCTTTTTTAGTTTACCTGTTAAATAACACTGGCTCACAAACTCAGGGTGAAAAATTCAGAGTTGGCCAGAAGCAAAGTAACAGAGTTCTAAAAGGGCATACTGAGCAATGAAATATTGTTTCCTCTTTGTTCACTCTTTACTCAGTCCCATTCACCATGCCCGTCCTCTATGCCAGGCCCTGTGCTAGGGGCTGGGGAGACCAAAGTCTTAATGTGGCCATGCCTAGAACAAAGCTCATCTGACACGATGTTCCAGACATTGTTCTAGGTCCTTCCACATACTGTTTTGCTTATTTGACAGACAAGCAAAGTGAGGCTCCATAACTGGCCAAGGTGAAGATCAGGCTTAGGCTCCTGCACTTTATGCTCTCATGCCCTCAGTGGCTCCCAGGACTTCCCCACAGGCGATCCCGAGATTCCTGAATCACCAGGGATGCTGGTGTAAATGCAGATTCTTGGTCTGAACTAAAGGATCAGAATCTTTGAAAAGGAAGCTTGGATATCCCTGTTTTTTATACTACTGTCTCTGGTAAGTCAGATGTGCAATGGGGTTTGGAAAACAGAGCATGCAAATCTGCTTCACCCCTCACTATAAGTTTATGGGATGTCTAGCACCCACCCCACTTCCAGCCAGTCAATGGCATAAAAGAATAAGGAAGGGAGGGAAAAAGAGGGAAAGGAAGGAAAGAAGGAAGGGAGGAAGAAAGAAGAAGGAATGGAGGGAGAGAAGGGAGGAATGAAGGAAGGGGAAAAGGGGAAGGAAGGGAAGGAGGGAGGAAGAAGGGGAGGGAGGGAGAGGGAAAGAAGGAGAGGAAGGGAGAGAAGGAGGGAGGGAGGGGAAAAGGGAAGGGAGGAAGGGAAGGAGAGAGGGAGGGAAAAGGGGAAGGAAGGAAAGGAAAGGAGGTAGAGAGGGAGGGGAAAAGAGAGGAAGGAAGGAAAGAAGGAAAGGAGGGAGGGAGGGAAGAAAGAAAGGAAGCAATTGCCCCCGTTGGGCCATATTTCCCCTCAAGGCAGGTTGGCCTGAGCCCTCTGCTCCTTTGGCCTTGCCCTGTAGCTGGAATGTCCCCCAACTGCTGTAGTAACAGTCTGGTGGACTCAGCAGGAGGTGCCCTTGGTGGCTGTCATGGCTGCCCAGGTTGATGCAGTCTAAGCAATAGGCACCAGTGATAGCAGTGGGGTGAAATTTCGCTCTACCTAGGACTCCTCCCTACCATTCAGGACACTACTGCTCTGGCTCAGTTCCCAGCTGCAGGTGGGGACAATTCAGCCAACAGGACATGTGGCAGGAAGGAAAAGTAGAGGTCTGAGCTCCAGCTCTCACTGCAGGATGATAGCATAATGAAACACAGCTCCATACCTCAGGAAGTGACCTGAGGACAGGGATCACTTTGTCTTCCTGAGAACAGTCACCTCTGTTCCCACCAGCAAATCACTGAGCCATGTGGGGTCTCAGTTTTCTCATTCATAAGAGGAAGATAGCCATTACTATTAGTGGAAGACCATTACCACTGCCATCTGTGATTTTTGGACACTCTTCTTGCATCGCACTGTCTTGAGTCTATCAGTCAATCTTTGTTACAAATATCTATGATGTCATTAGGATCTCCATTGACAGATGAAGAAAATGAGCCTTGAGGGGAGAGGGAGAAGAGACCTGTCCTGGATTTTCCAGCAGGTAACCAGGGAAGCTGGGGTTTGAGTTGTGTGATGTCACAGCTCATCCTCCTAATAACCCCCAAGGCTGCTCCTATGTCCTTTCCCCTTCTGTTTCCTATGACTATTTGCCCCTGAACGGGAGGTGTTCATGGTTTCAAAGAAATGAGTTCACAGACTTCCCAGCTCCATCTCCTAAGCCTCCATAGGGAAAATCCCAGTTAGTTCTGTGTCTGACAGGGACTCAGCAAAGACCTAGCGTGTGGCTCTACGGATGAAAGAGCTGTTGGTACCCAAAGGGCCCTGGAGATATCTAGCAACTAGACAGAGTCTCAGTTCCGTCAAGGATGAGTCAGAAACACAGGTCCAAGCTGTCACCTGCTTTCCAAAGTGTCTAAACTGGGGAGACTAGCTATGCAGTGGTAGTGACAGGCTTTCAATTATCATGGGGATTCACAGAAAAACTCCAGCCCCTGAACAGGTCTTCCACTCTAACCTCACCTCCAATGATTTGCCCCTCTCATACCTACTTTATCAGCCCTTCAAACAAGCCAAACACTTTCCCACCTCAGGGCCTTTGCACTGGCTGTGACCTCTGATGAAAACACTATTGCTTCTGCCTAAAAGAATATTGTCCTAAATCTTCACAAGTCTTCCTCCTCTGTCTTGTCATTTACATCTCAGATCATGGTCCCCTCCTCAGGAAGGCCTTTCCTGACCATCCATCTAAATTAGCCCCCTGAATCAATTCCTATCCATCCCCTCTCCCTGCTTAACAGCATCTGAAATGATCTTACTTGTGATTTGCTGACATGGCAGAAAAGTGCCTGGTTCTCAATGAACATGTGCTGAATGAATGAATGAGTGGATAAATGAATGAAAAAAGGATCCAGGAACCTATATTCGAAAGTGTCCCCTGCTCTAGGTAACAAGGGCAGAGACCACAAACAGAACACTGGGGTTGGGAACAACTTAAACCCCAAGCAGCTACATGCACACACATTGCTGGGCATGGTTCCAAAGCTAAAAAGGTACTAATTGCATTTGTGTGAGGAGGTAGGAACACGGACGGCCTCTCCATATCCCTCGGTCCCGATGTCTGCATTATCGGATCTGTTACCATGTTAACTGGCACTGTCTCGCACAGCCAGTTTGGGCTTCATTCTGCATATGTCTGGGTTCAAACAGAATCCTATAGAGGAGAGGTACTAGGGAAAAGAGAGAGAGAGAGAGAGAGAGAGAGAGAGAGAGTGTGTGTGTGTGTGTGTGTGTGTACAAAAGCAGCCACACTCTGGGAAGGGTTAATACAACCAGGCCCTAAGACTGGCCCAGAAGTGGGAGGGGTGGGCCTGGAAGGTGGAGCAGGCTTTGGCTTGCACCAGCTGCTTTGTCACCCGCAGGAGTGCAAATGCTTGTTCAGCCGGACCTGAGGGTCGTGAACTCAAGTTGCCTTTAGGAATGGCTGCAAAAGCCCACACCTGGAAACTGTTTCCTCCCTGTCCCCTCCACGGCAGGTTGCGTTTGGATTCTCCGGTCATAGAGGAATGAGCCGGGAGTGAGCAATTCACCAGCTCACCAGCACTTGGTAGAGAGCAGCAGGCGAGGATGGACGTGGTCGACAGCCTTCTTATGAATGGGAGCAACATCACTGCCCCCTGCGAACTTGGACTTGACAATGAGACGCTTTTCTGCTTGGATCAGCCCCATCCTTCCAAAGGTAGGTGCCACAGGCTATTGTTTTAGTTGACAAAACCACTGAGTTGAGGGAGAAACAAGCAAAGGCAAGGCTGATAAAGAAAATATAACAGAGTCATTGTGAGACAAGGCTGGATAAAGTCCTATGTTCTGGAGTTTGGACAAAAGATCAAAGGCAGACTGGAGTCAAGTATTCTTATTGTTCCCTGCAGGAGAGTTGGGGACTCATGTGCAGGACTTGGGAGGACAAAAGCAGTAGGAGGCAAAGCTGAGTGTAGCCAGAAAGGGATACAAGTGTGGAAGCCTGAACTTATAAGTGTTACAGAAAAGGCGCCGTCAGTGGGTAGCAGTTGCCTTTTCTTGGGGGAAACCCAGCACGAATAAGTGATTAAAGCAAATTTAATGCTTAATGCTTAGCGTCTAGGAAAGAAAAATCATCACTATTCAAAACCATACCCTTAAGCAAAAGTGGTTTCCTGAGTGATGCTATAACAAACCGACCTTTGAAAGCAGCGGGATCATTTCTGCCTTCCCGGGTTGCTTCAGCACCTTGCGGCCAGTGCAGGACACTCAGGTTCAGTGATGGGCACCCCAGGGGGACATCAGCAGGGAACACCGGTCCCTTTGGGAGCTAAGGTTTTAAACATTCTGCTCTCACAACCCCCAGCCATCTGACTCGCCCCTGTGATTGCAGAGTGGCAGCCGGCAGTACAGATTCTCCTGTACTCTTTGATATTTCTGCTCAGCGTGCTGGGAAACACGCTGGTCATAGCTGTGCTGATTCGGAACAAGAGGATGAGGACGGTCACCAACATCTTCCTGCTGTCTCTGGCCATCAGCGACCTCATGCTCTGCCTCTTCTGCATGCCGTTCAACCTCATCCCCAACCTGCTCAAGGATTTCATCTTTGGGAGCGCTGTTTGCAAGACCACCACCTACTTCATGGGTGAGTCGCTACCTGTGGCTATTACCAGAGCTCAGCCCCAAACTTCCCAACCCCAACTGCTACAGCAGAGGAGCCCCGCCGAGGTCTAACACTGACATCTGGCTCTGCAGGGCACAGGTGCTGGCTTTGTGGTAGGTCAGTTCCCAAATACGCAGAAGTGGGTCCCTGATCGTGTGTGTCTGAAGTTGGTAGGGAAACGCAGGAGGCTGAGGACGCTTGCTCCTGTTTAAAGCACAGGGATTCAAAAGTGACCTCAAGTTGCTCTACGACTTTCTGGAGGCCATTGATTGTATCCTGGTCTCTCCCCTCTTGGGTCGTAACATCTTGGGATGGGGCTATGACTCTTTGGCAAGGAACATAGGTGATGTTAAGCCAGTCTCATCATGGGTCCAGTTTCTTTTCTCAGGACTCACTTTCCAGACTGTCTTCCAAAGGGCTAGGACCATCTAAGGTAGAGGGAAACACAGAGAAATAGACAGACAGAGGCGAAGAGGTCTGAATCCCTGGGGACTGGGGGCTGCTAAGCTGGCTCTGATTGGTACTTTTTTTTTGTTTGTTTTTTCTTTTTCTTTCTTTTATTTTATCATATGCACTTTATTATAACCATCAAAATGATGATTATGACAAAATCTCAAAAACTACTATTTTTGAGTACTTTTTATGTTCCAGATGTTGGGCTGTTTTTACATCCATGGTCTTATTTTATCTCCCAGCTACCCTGTGGAGTACATTCCTCTCTGTCTTATCAAGGAGGGGACAGAAGCACAGAGCTGTTTTTAATGCGCCCAAGGACACAAAGGCAGCAAGCAGCATAGCTGGGATTTGAACCCTTGTTAGCAGCCACTGCAGTGGGGGAGTATGTGCTGCCTTGGTTTGTCAACTGCTGTGATTTTCCTGAAGCTGAACAAAAATGTGTTTCCTGGTCCCCTTCGTATGCCAAATTGCCTTGGTCCTTGCCCATTCTAAGAACTAGTTCGGGGAGAGGGAGAGGTGGGAAGGAAAGGGTGTTTTTGTTCTGACTCAGGCCTTGTAAAATGTGCAGCAACGAATTGGATTAAGACTGTCCTCAACCTGCCTGGAACTGAGGGGAGGAGCGGGGGAGAGGGGAGAGGAGGGGGGGGCCGGGGGGAGAAATGACCTAAACAATGTATGCATGTGCGAATAAATGAATAATTTTTAAAAAAAAAGACTGTCCCCAATGCCCAAAAAGCTCTAAAAACCTTTATTTTTTCCCAGTTGAGGAAGCAGGATCTAGCCCAGACAAGACAATGATGAATTCCTGACCCTTGTGTCATGGACAAGTCACCAAGAATGTGTCATTCAGTGTCCAAGTCCTCTAAAAATAAAAAATAAATAAAATAAAAAGTAAAAAAAGAGCCTACAAATGAAATGGGGTCATTGTTAAATAATGAAGCTACAATAATAACAGCCTTTCCTCAGCCTCAGGTCTCCAAAGCCTGTCCAGGTAACGGTACTATTCCTTGAGAACCTTAGCTACAGTATAGGAAAGGGTGGCTGAAAGTGAGTGCTTGCACAGTCACAGACATTGTGATGTCATCGAACTATTCACTTGAAAGTGCTCAACTTAGTGTTATATGAATTTCACCTCAATAAAAACATTTTAAATAGGAAAAAAAAGAAAAGATATTTCTGAAAGTATTGTGGTCTCTTTAGTACTCTTACAATCAACAGTCATTAAACTCCTGATTTATAGAAAGGCAAAACCAAAAGCGTTCTAGCCTGACAGTGGGTTTGGAGTGATAGTGGACCCATGACATAGAACAAACTTGATGGAGTCGTGGGTTGTCCTCTCAATTTTAAATGTCATCAACCCGTTAGGATAAAGTCCAGGAAAACACAGCAGCCCTGCTTAGAACATGAGCTGTTTCCTAAAGGTTTCAGGTCATGGACCCTTTAAGACTCCGAGGAAAGCTAGAGCTAGCCTCCCTAGAAAAAGAACATTTGATACACAGTTTCAGAGATGTTATTTCTATCCAGATCCATAGTGATGCTCTCAGGATGCCAGTTTAGAAATCTCTGGGCCAATCCATATTAACCCTGAGGTTTGAGAAATCATGGTAAGAGGGAATCAGGACACTTGACAGTAGTCGTAGCTGTAGGGCCCTAAGGGAACTTTAAGGATATCAGACATTATAATAAGCATCAATTACCAACACCAAATTGAGGAGGAGTTAAGATTTTCTGACTATATGCAAGTGTGTGTTTTTAAGTGAGGTGTACCTGATGTCCTTCCAGCTGTGGTCATACACATATCCTCTTAAAACACAGAAGAGCAGAAAGAGCAAAATGGAAGAGCCCGTTCCCCTACCAAGAGAAATCTTTGGTTACAGAATAGAACTTTCCTCTTCCACCTTTTTTTTTAATGTATTTTTTTTCAGAAGACAACATTTTGAAATTTAGAATGTTTCACTCTGAGAAACAGCGTGTACTAGAAATTTTCAGAAAAATCAATGCTTTCAGCTCAGACCCCATTGGCCTTTCAAGGTCACAGAGAGCTTGAGAATCTTGGGTTTTAAAGGTAGATAAAACCACACAGATCATAAGCAAAAGTAGCACTTTTCTTTAGGCTTCTGTGAGGTAGCAACATATTTTTATCTCCTTGGTTATTAATTAATGAATCCCTTCAACCTAAGTAGGAGTTAGATTGCAATCAAAGCTCAATAACTTACCTGAAAATTGGCAACGAGGTCGGCAAATTCATATCCTTAACTACCTCAAATCCTTTGGGAACAAAGCAGGGAATAAATCATCTTTTTGAAATATACATATGCAATATTTCTTAGCCCCTGGAGCTTTTGCCTTTGACATTAAACCTATGCAGACAAGATATGCTTAAGCTGACGCGCAAACAAATTTTGTATTTCAGTGGCAAAGTAACCGACTTTTCTGTTCCTTCCCAGGCACCTCCGTGAGTGTTTCCACCTTTAACCTGGTCGCCATTTCTCTGGAGAGATATGGTGCCATTTGCAAACCCTTACAGTCCCGGGTCTGGCAGACAAAATCCCATGCTCTGAAGGTGATTGCTGCTACCTGGTGCCTCTCCTTCACCATCATGAGTCCCTACCCCATCTACAGCAACTTGGTACCTTTTACCAAAAATAACAACCAGACTGCAAATATGTGCCGCTTTCTGCTGCCCAATGATGTCATGCAGCAGTCCTGGTAAGCTAGCCTTGGGTTTATTCTCTTAACTGCAACTTGATAGGAGTTTACAATGTGAAAAACTGGAATGCCTTGCCCAGAATGGCTATGGGATCGATGTCCTGGAGACTTTCTGAGGAAGGTCATTCTAGAATAACAGTGACAGCAAACATTTCGCTGGAGTACTAGGTTTTAAATGCCATATGTATATGGTTTCAATTAATCAACTCTATAGAAAAGGCAATGTTATTATGCCCATTTTACAGATGAGGAAACGGACTTGGGAAGGTCAGATTGCCCAAATTCACAAAGCTTGAGAAAGGCAGATCCTTGTGCATAGCCACCATGTCTAAACCTCCAGAGGGTCTGGAAGGGGTTAGGCTATGATTAGATCTATGATTAGGCTATGATTAAATCTATGATTTTCTAAAGAATTGAAGATGAGTAGAGTGAGTCCCAAACTCTGGTTTATCTTAGGTGTGGCTATGGTGCTTGTCAAGAACATTTACAGAAAAAGGTGAGATTCCAATACTGGTTCCTTTGCTTAGCTGGGTGAACTTCAGCAAGTTCACACAACCTCTCTGAGCCCCAGAGATGGGCTCTTTGTCTCTACAAAGAGTCAATAATATAGATATTTTAAAAATCTGCCTTGTTGGGTGGCCCTAAGATTCCAGCAACAGCATGTATATAAAAACATCTTAATAAAAAGTTACTAATTATAAGGATATTTTAGAAGCCAGGAACTTGACATTCAGAAGCGGCTCAAAATTGAGATTATCTCTGCTCCCTTTGCCTTCCTCCATTCCCTTCAACCAAGTAGCACACACACAAAAAGAATTATGTTGCAAATGAGAGGGATATTTCTAAGACCTGAAAAAGTATCTTATCAAAACATGTCCAATTGCAATGAGAAATGGCCCAGCCACCGTATGCCTCTGACAATTTTATGGCCTAATCGCGTAACCTTACACATGCCAGACTGCAAAAGTGATTTAGAGGCCAGACTCATAAAGCAGGAGGCTGCGATTCCTCAAGAATCAAATGTATTTACAGAAAGCATAGCTCTACCCCGCCAGGCGTGAGACCATGCTACTGTGCCAGCTTCCCAGGGCAGGAGAGAATGGATGCCCATGGAAACTGGTGAGCTGCTGCTGATTGCAACAGCCAGAATGCCTCCATATTTTCTAAAACCTAAAGGAAATTCCCATCATCCCAACCTAGGCATTTGGTTACTCTCTTCTTTTAAAATCAGCGAATTGTGTCTCATTATGCTTAATAGCATTGCCTCTGCCTGGGTTCAAATTCTACCTCTGCCACTAGCTGGAGACGTTGGACTACTTATTTCATCTGTTCATGTTTCAATTTCCTCATCTCTAAAATAGGTATTAGAAAAATAGTGTCTCCTTCGAAGGTTGTTATGGGAGTTAAATGTAGTAATATATGCAAATGTAGTACTATATGCAAATGTAATGATATATGCAAATGTAGTGATATATGCAAAGTGATTAGCCTAGCAGGTAACACGTATTATAAGTCTCCAATGACTGTAAGCTCTAATTATTATTATTGTTGTTGTCATTATTATTATTATATTGGAAACAGCTTTGAAATAAAACTCACATACTAATCATTTTTTAAAGCTTTATTTATTTGGTTTTGTAGTTCTATTACTGTTAGTTTTTTTGTTATTTGAGATAGGGTCTCACTATGTAGCCCAGCTGGCCTTGAACTCCTGGGCTCAAGTGAGCTCTTGCCTCAGCCTCTCAACTATATGGGACACTATGTGCACACCACCTTGCTTGTCTTTTCTTTTTTACATGCTAACTGGACTTTATCTCAGAAAAGGAAAGCAGTAAACAAGTTCTAATGACTGAACCTCCAGACGTGGAATTTCCGAGGATGTTATGTATTAGTTAGTCACTAACATGTCTGCTCAGACCAGTTAAAGATGCTCCGTCATGCCTGCCCTCTTGAGTATGAAGGTCCGGAGCTGCTGGTTATTGGATTTCTTTTCATTGTATTAGGCACGCGTTCCTGTTGCTCATCCTCTTCCTTGTTCCTGGAATTGTGATGGTGGTGGCATATGGATTAATCTCTTTGGAACTCTACCAAGGAATAAAATTTGATGCTAGCCAGAAAAAATCTGCTAAAGGTAACCATCTTTTAGCTGGACGCTTATACCAAAACAACACAGAATCTCTTTTGCCATGACTTAAATAGACACACCCAGAGTGTAGACAGACGATAGTGGAGATTTTTGAAAGTGTTCTTATGAGAATCTGTGTTGTAAGGCACAGTCGGGAGACTCAGTCTCTATTTTCTTATCTGTAAAATAGGGAAGTAATCCCTCTCAAAAGGGCCCTGAGTGGAATCAAAGGCGATCATACACACAGAACCCAATTTAAAACAAAGGGCCATGTGTCCCAGTCCTCCTGCACTATTGCATTCAAAGGGACATCCTGCACAGCTGCAGCTAGTCCTGGACTGTGTCTCTCCTAAGGCACAAGTTTATAACCTATAAGCTCAGCTTTTTGTCCCACCCTTTCTTCTCCCTCTCAGCCTCACACTGCAATGGCCACAAAACCTTGCTCCTTCTCCACTCCCCACCACACGCTAGCCACTGAGACTGTCCTGTGCTGATGTGACTCCTCCCTTCCCACCCTCCCCCTCTCAGCTCTTTACTATGTAGATAACTTAAGTCTCTCTGGCTTCCCTGGTTTCCAGTGACTTCTCATTATCTAGATTGTTCACTGTAAAAGCACTCAGGAAACTTAGCAAGCAGGCATCACTATGCAGTCATTTTCACCCCTATGTACAAAATACTATTTTCATTACATATTATGTTATACATCAACAATGTACAATTGTATAACAATTACATGTATACATATAATGTACATATATACATATAATACACATATATACATGTGCACATGGTATTACATGTCTATGTTAATATAATATGCGTATATTATACGATTTTCAGTTTTCAGTAGCTTTTCACTTGAAGGACAGAAGTAGACCAATACCCAGATGAGCGCAGGTGAGGTGGCCAGTCTGATTCTTCAGTTCGAGCCAGGCGAGGCCTCCCGGAGGGAGAGAGGGAGGGAGGTGCAAGCTGCGCGTCTTCCCTCTGCCGTGACCCCTTTGAACAATGTCACTTGCCCACCCAGAGCGGAAAGCGAGCACGAGCAGCAGCGGCCGATACGACAGCGATGGGTGTTACGTGCAGAAGTCCAGGCGCCCGAGGGCGCTGGAGCTTCAGCAGCTGTCCACCCACAGCGGCGGCGGCGCCAGGGTCCCCCGCATCAGGAGCAGCACCTCGGCCACCAACCTGATGGCCAAGAAGCGGGTGATCCGCATGCTTATCGTCATCGTAGTCCTCTTCTTCCTGTGCTGGATGCCCATCTTCAGCGCCAACGCCTGGCGGGCGTTTGACACCGTCTCTGCCGAGCGCCACCTCTCAGGGACCCCCATCTCCTTCATCCTCCTGCTCTCCTACACCTCCTCCTGCGTCAATCCCATCATCTACTGCTTCATGAACAAACGCTTCCGACTTGGCTTCATGGCCACCTTCCCCTGCTGCCCCAACCCTGGCGCCCCAGGGGTGAAAGGAGAGGTGGGTGAGGAGGAGGAAGGCAGGACCACGGGGGCGTCTCTGTTCAGGTACTCCTACAGCCACATGAACACCTGTGCTCCGCCCCCCTGAGCTGGAGCCTGGCCCTCCACTGAGGCAGGGAGGAGGGGACCAAGGGACAAAGAGAGGAGGAAGAGGAGGAGGAGGATGTGAAGGAGGAGTGCCCCACTTCTGGTGGAACTCCTTTTCATCCTTCATCCCATTCCAGAAGGGAAGCCTGCAAGGTGGGGCTGAGCCTGGTTTCCAGGTAATGCAAGAAAGGTCGTTTCCAGTAGCATTCACCATCAGGAACAAATACAGCAGGCTAGTGACCCCAACCAGGCTCACACAGAGCAGCTGTAACTGCCAAGCACTTGTTCAAAATGGAGATGTGGACCCTACAGAGCTGTCGAAGATTCTGGAATGCTCCAGGAAAGAGACTGTCCCTGAAGTAACACACTTCTATCCTCTCTTCTTCATGCAGAACTGTGGAAGCTGCTTTGCCCCCCAAGGCACCACTGCTCTTTCATGTTCATACTCTAGCCAGCCATCTTCTCAAGACCGCCAAGGTCTTCCAAGAAGCAGACTTCCTCTGGCCATTTTCTGTACTAAGAGAACAGACTGATTTGTTTCCTCTTGAGGTTGATCATGGACATTCAGAGAAGTAAGGTCTGTCATCATCAGAAGAGCAAAAGGAACACTGCCTGAAAGATGGGATTTATCACTCAGTTCTACAAAGAAAAAAGAGTGCACAGAACTATTTCTACTTCACTGACACTATTGCTTCTCTTTTATGTGGTGATTTAAACCCCATCACTTCTCTGTCTCAACTGAGTTTCTCATATTCACCTGCACTTTGTCTTTTCCAGAAAGATTTCCAGGAACAAAGGAGAGTCATAAGTTAGTGCACCTGGGCCATGGTGGGAATATTTATAGTCAGGCCCAAAAGAACACCTGGACTTGGTGAACAAATAACTTCTGAATGCCAGTGCTTTCAAATGTCTGTGCTTTCAAATACAATCAAGGTATTTGTTAATAATTCTTTACAGATAAGTATACAGTGCTCTTTGGTGTATTAAAAAAAAGAATTGTTAATTCACCAAGTGTTATCATTTTACATTCCTTCATAAAGGTTGGAGTTGAACTTTTGTGGTTTTCTTTTTTGTGTGAAATAAGTGTTGAGCTCTCTCCTCTAATTTAGAAACCTTAATTGAAATAGATATGAATTATACATTCACATCCTAGGAAGTCCATTTCTAAAGTAGTATATATCTGTTCAGTCAACCAACACTTCATTCTTTCTTTAAGAGTAACATTGTCCTGTTTGCTTAAATAAATTACTATGGATATTTTTTGACAGAAGCAGGTTTGCATACTGTGGGAAGTAGACAAATACCCAAGTTAACAAAAAATTAAGACAAAGAAAATTCATAGCTTCAAGCCTTCAAGCATCTGAGAAGCAAACTTGCTTTTTCTTCCTTCCATGAGGCCACAACCATCCAATACTTATCCAGGCTTGACACTCTGAGAAATACACTAGGGCCAGTGATTTGAAGTGTCCCCAAAAATCCATGTGGAGGGTGGAAGGAGGAGAGGGGCAAAAAGCGATGGGGTAACAGATCACTAGACAAGATGTAAGCATTGCATCAGGTTTTTGTGGGTGGTCGTCATGTGCTGAGAGTTGTTGAGAATGTAGCTGTTTATGGACTTTTCAAGTCAACAGTTCTTATTTTGGTATCTGGCACCAGCTGACTCAGTCAAAGATCAACCAATGAAAATACGCACTGCTAGAATTGATGCCAGGACTGGGAACCTTCGCCGAGCACCTGCCCAGCAAGCATGAGGCCCTGAGTTCAAACCCCAGTACCAGCAAAAAATAAATAAATAAAAAAGTATAAAATTGCAGTAACAAAAAGTGCAAGAAATAAAAATGTCTTCAGTATTTGAGTATGCCCTACATTACCTACAATTTTCCTGGCAAAAGATCAAGTCTTGCCCTTTGACAGTGTTAGCTTAGATAAGAGCTATATTAGCCCCTCTCCCCTATTAGAAACTTTCTGGATCATACCTTCCAAGATGTAGTAACTTAAAAATAAGGTTCCCGGATTTAGCTAATGAAAATACAGGTACTAACTAAATTCTAACTTCAGATAGACAACAGATAATTTTCAGTATGATGGTGTCCTACACACTAAAATACATTCTGTATTTCATCTGGTAGCCCTCCTTTGAAATCTTTTAAAAGCATGTAGAAATATAAACAAGGTTTCCCAGATATAGAGCAATAAAATGCCCTGTTGATTTAATTTATTGGAAAGTCTTTTGCTTAATGGAAGCTGTTTTAAAAAAGGAAAAGCTATTAACTTTCAGGATTTGTATCTGACCTTTGGAAAGGTCTGATTTTATTGATTAAAAAGTTTTTTTTTAATATAATGCTATTCGCATACTTTGTTAACTGCCTTTGCTTTGTGCTAAAATAATTACTAATTTGAATCTGACCTAAAGTGACCAGTAGAGTGAAGAAAACCAATGCATGAATTTTCTGGCATTTTCTAGTGTCTTCTGGTAGCTTTCCTTCATCACCAAAGAGCTGTGATACAGCATCGGAATGAAGGACTGTGTCTTTGCTCTTCAGTTAAATTGTGTGTTGCCGTGGTTTCTTGTGCCCCAGTCACTGTGGTAAAGTCTCCTAACATGCTTCTGGTGTGAACAAGCACTGTCTATATACCTAGGATTTGGTTACACGTGTCCCTGTGTCCCCTCTGTTCAAATAAAATTTCATCTTCAGGAGATGCTGATGGTAGTTGTTAAACCTCCATTGTATTTCCTTCCCATGTTTGCCCAGTGAACTGCACACCATGAGTGTTCAATAAATGTTGTGACTGACTTCTGTCCTGCCTTCTATGCTTTTGGTGGTCTCTCATTCTGTCCAATGCTGTGATTCTCAGCAAAGGCAGACTCACTCTTTAAGGAGGGGGCAGAATTTCTACCAGACTTTGTTCTACTCTGTGTATTCCCACCCAAGGTTCTAATGTGTCCTCTCCTTACTCTGCTCATTGTACGTGTGGTCGGGGTAGGGTGGGGGATGAATGTACTCAAAGATCTTAGTAACAGGCAGGGTTAGGTCTGGGAACACTGTTGAGACACAGGTAAGGAAGGACTGGGGACCCTTGGTCTATATTGTCCCTTGGCTTATTCTTCCCCACCCCCACTTCCTTTGAGGAGATAAGTAAAAATCTATCCCACTGAAGAAGCCAGCTCACTTCTTAGGGTTGAGAAGTATTATCAAAAGCCATGTGGCTCCTTTGGTTGTTCCTCCCACCCATTTTCTCCCCTACAGGGCCCCTTTGTAAATCTTGCTGGGCCACCCCGAACTCACACACACCTGTCAACTCCCTGGCTCTTGGCTGTAAACATAGAACCTCCCTCCTTCTTGGGTTGAGTGTCTCTGACCTCTCTGGTCTTTCCCTGGTCTCCTCAAGGAAACATAGCTTCCTAGTTTTTTACAGCTCAGAGCCAGCCCCATAACTGTACACCCCACCCACCCCAGTTCTTGAAAGCCCAGCCTGTGTGGATCTGCTTGAACAAGAAGAGGTCAGACGAGGACAAATTATCCAGCATCTGGCGTTGTTCACAGCATATTATGGGGACCCAATAACTGTTTCAGGTGAAGAATGGATGAATCCGAAGGGAGTTGTTCCTCAGTACCAGTCCTCTCCTGACCACTTTGGGGGGCACACCTTCCCAACCAGGGCCTCCGCACAGAGTATGCGGCAGTGCTTTCAAGTTCACTGAGCATAAAAGCCACTTCTGGGGCTGGCTATAGGTATAGTTCAGTGATAGAGTGCTTGCCTACCATGTATGAGGGCCTGGGTTCAATGCCCAGTACCAACAAAATAAATAAATAGATGGGTAGATGGATGGATGGATAGATAGATAGATGATAGATAGATATAGATATAGACAGATAGATAGTTAGATAGATGATAGATAGATATAGATAGATAGATAGTTTTTAAAAAGCTACTTCTGTGGGTAAAAGAAAGATAAAGTACAGAGATCTGTCCTAATCTCAGTGGCTGTCATTAACTTCCTGTGTGGCTTCAGGCAAGTGACATCCTTTCTCTAGGGGCTCAGATTCCTCTTGTGCATAATGAGGGGTTGGCCCTCTATGTGGTATCATGTCACTTGCAGGTCAGAATTCGCTGTTTTTAATATTCCACAGCCTCTCTCAATTTCATTGGCTCTGCCATCAGGAAAGTTCCTTGGTCCCTAAGCTCACAACCATTTAGGACAAAAGCTGTCAAGGCAAGGAAAAAAGGGGCCCAGAGTCTCTATGTCCCCTTCCCATTCTAGGACACTGCTCCCCACAGCACCTTGTGGGAGGCTCATCCCTCGAACCCCAGCCTCATTCCAACAGAAATATAGGCATAAAATCTCCTAATTTTCCTAATTTAAAATGGCCTAGGATGGAGAAGCCTGTTCTAGATAGGCACTTTGTAAGTCACTGTTGACCATGGTGACAACAAACACTGGCAGAGAGATGAGTCAATGCCTGTTATATGTGGTTTCTTATTTAATTCTCCAAACAACAGTGTGTGAAGTATCATTTTTCCACCTTTCACAGGTGAAGAAATATAGGACTCAGAGGGGATGGCGACATGTCCAAGGACAGATGGCTAATAAATGGCAAGTACAGGATCAAGCCCCCTTTAAGCCCATCAGGCTGCTGTTCGGATTGTGTCACCTTCTTGGCTCTAAGTGATCAGTAGCTGCTATTTTGTCATAGGACACTTCCCAGTTCCTGGTCCTTGTAAACCTAAGGAAGAGAAATCCTTTCTTTACCCCCTTGCTCTGCCTCCCCCTCAGGACTTTGGCCCTCACTCTGAGTTCCCTACACATGGAGAATTTGAAAGCTGGGTTTTTGCACTTGTTTCCTGGATGCATCTATCCCTGTGTTTATTTTTGGGAGGAAGATAATTATACTTTGCCACCTCATAGGAAAGCCAAGAGATAATATCAGTAAACAAGCTTTCACCTCTTTGGCATATTACCAACATTATTTATGGCAGATCTGTTTTCTCAGAATCATCAGAAAGGAAACACAGGCCAACTTTTCCATCAGCCT